GCACATACCTTGATAAGATATTGAAGAAGTTCAATATGGATCAGTCCAAGAAAGGGTTCTTGCCTGTATTGCAAGGTGTGAGATTGAGCTCGGCTCAATGCCCGACCATGGCATAAGATAAAGAAGAGATGAGTGCCATCCCCTATGCCTCAGCCATAGGATCTATTATGTATGCCATGCTGTGTACCAGACCTGATGTAAACCTTGCCGTAAGTTTGGTAGGAAGGTACCAAAGTAATCCCGGCAAGGAACACTGGACAGCAGTCAAGAATATCCTGAAGTACCTGAAAAGGACAAAGGACATGTTTCTCGTTTATGGAGGTGACGAAGAGCTCGTCGTAAAGGGTTACGTCGACACTAGCTTCGACACAGATCTGGATGACTCTAAGTCACAAACCGGATACGTGTATATGTTGAATCGTGGAGCAGTAAGCTGGTGCAGTTGCAAGCAGAGCATCGTGGCGGGATCTACATGTGAAGCGGAGTACATGGCAACCTCGGAGGCAGCACATGAAGCAATATGGATGAAGGAGTTCATCACCGACCTAGGAGTCATACCCAATGCGTCGGGGCCGATCACTCTCTTCTGTGACAACACTGGAGCTATTGCCCTTGCCAAGGAGCCTAGATTTCACAAGAAGACCAGGCACATCAAGCGTCGTTTCAACTCCATCCGTGAAAATGTTCAAGATGGAGACATAGATATTTGCAAAGTACATACGGATCTGAATGTCGCAGATCCGTTGACTAAACCTCTTCCGCGAGCAAAACATGATCAACACCAGAACTCTATGGGTGTTCGATTCATCACAGTGTAACTAGATTATTGACTCTAGTGCAAGTGGGAGACTGTTGGAAATATGCCCTAGAGGCAATAATAAAAGGATTATTATTATATTTCCTTGTTCATGATAATTGTCTTTTATTCATGCTATAATTGTATTATCCGGAAATTGTAATACACGTGTGAATACATAGACCACAACATGTCCCTAGTGAGCCTCTAGTTGACTAGCTCGTTGATCAACAGATAGTCATGGTTTCCTGACTATGGACATTGGATGTCATTGATAACGGGATCACATCATTATGAGAATGATGTGATGGACAAGACCCAATCCTAAGCATAGCACAAGATCGTGTAGTTCGTTTGCTAGAGCTTTTCCAATGTCAAGTATCCTTTCCTTAGACCATGAGATCGTGTAACTCCCGGATACCGTAGGAGTGCTTTGGGTGTACCAAACGTCACAACGTAACTGGGTGACTATAAAGGTGCTCTACAGGTATCTCTGAAAGTGTCTGTTGGGCTGACACGGATCGAGACTGGGATTTGTCACTCCGTATGACGGAGAGGTATCTCTGGGCCCACTCGGTAATGCATCATCATAATGAGCTCAAAGTGACCAAGTGTCTGGTCACGGGATCATGCATTACGGTACGAGTAAAGTGACTTGCCGGTAACGAGATTGAACGAGGTATTGGGTTACCGACGATCGAATCTCGGGCAAGTAACATACCGATTGACAAAGGGAATTGTATACGGGGTTGCTTGAATCCTCGACATCATGCTTCATCCGATGAGATCATCGAGGAGCATGTGGGAGCCAGCATGGGTATCCAGATTCCGTTGTTGGTTATTGATCGAAGAGCCGTCTCGGTCATGTCTACGTGTCTCCCAAACCCGTAGGGTCTACACACTTAAGGTTCGGTGACGCTAGGGTTATAGAGATATGAGTATGCAGCAAACCGAAAGTTGTTCGGAGTCCCGGATGATATCCCGGACGTCACGAGGAGTTCCGGAATGGTCCGAAGGTAAAGAATTATATATGGGAAGTCGAGTTTCGGCCATCGGGAAAGTTTCAGGGGTCACTTTTATACCGGGTGGGGCCACCCATCCCGGAGGGCCCCATGGGCTGAAGTGGGAGGGGGACCAGCCCCTGGTGGGCTGGTGCGCCCCCCTGGGGCCCCCTCTATGCCTAGGGTTGGGAACCCTAGGGGAGGGGGCGCCTCCACTTGCCTTGGGGGGCAAGTTTCCCCCCTTGGGCGCCGCCCCCCCTGGGGTCCCTATATAAAGAGGGGGGGGGGTGGGAGGGCAGCCGAACCCTGACACCCGGCGCCTCCCTTTCCCCCTTGCTACTCCTCTCCCTTCCGCAGACGCTTGGCGAAGCCCTGCCGGATCCCTGCTGCATCCACCACCACGCCGTCATGCTGCTGGATCTTCATCAACCTCTCCTTCCCCCTTGCTGGATCAAGAAGGAGGAGATGTCACGCTGACTGTACGTGTGTTGAACGCGGAGGTGCCGTCCGTTCGGCGCTAGGATCTCTGGTGATTTGGATCATGACGAGTACGACTCCCTCAACCTCGTTCTCTTGAACGCTTCCGCTCGATCTACAAGGGTATGTAGATGCACTCCTCTCTCTCGTTGCTAGATGAACTCATAGATTGATCTTGGTGAACGTAGGGAATATTTTATTTTATGCAACGTTCCCCAACAAAATATACCTCCTCGGTGAAAATTTATCACTTCGGAAAAAGGCATGGACAACTTATAGAACCAACTTGCAAGACCGATAACTGAAAATGGAGAAGAACTCGGAAGGACCGATGAGAGTCCTCCACTTCAAGACGAGTTTAGGGACTACTATGGTGTCCTGGACTAGGGGGTGCTTTCCATGCTGGTCCCCGACCAGGTGGGTCTAGCGGGTCCCGATCGTCGGGCCAAGCAAAGCCAAGATGGAAGGTTCCGAAGACTTGGCACATACTCCAAGACTTAGATGTTGTCTTCGTCGTGATTACCCCTAGATGTAACCGACCTATGTGTAAACCCTAGGTACCCCTGATATCTATATAAGCCAAGGGGTGGGGGTCGTAGACGACAATTCTCATACACAAACAATCTCACGGTAGATCAGCGTGTAATTGCTTGCACTCCCTCCAAACCAATACAATCAAAGCATGACGTAGGGTATTGTCTCTTCGGGAGAGCCCGGACATGGGTCAATCGTGTGTCTATGTTAGCATCATACGAAGGCTACCAGCTCGGGACTCCCTACCCAAGGTGTGCTAGATTTGACTCCAACAGTTGTGGAGAAAGCCCCAACCTTGTTTGTAAAGGTTCCGGTTGCCACCTCCAAGGGCGCTACTAGTGGATTTGCGACACCTTGCATTGTGCGAGGGCGTAAAGATAATAGGGTGAGTCTATGGGACGCTTGGGGAGCATTGTGCCTCCACACCCCACCAATGGAGACGTACCTCCCCCAAAGGCGAAAACTTTGAAAACACATCGTCTTCTTCTTCTCCACTTGCGGTTATCTCGCTCCTTGTTGCTAGCTTCTGCCTTGTATTTAACTCTTGTCAGCTTGTGTTGCTCATTCCGCTTATCATATAGATTGTCCACTTAGTTGAATATCTAGATGACCTATCATTTTGTTTAGCCTAAAATTTGCAAAAGAGATTAAAATTATTAGTCACCTATTCAACTCCCACCCCTTCTAGTCGACCATACCTATCCTTTCACAAGGCACGTCGTCTATTGGCCGAGCACTCGACAGAAAAAGGAGCAATACAAAAAGACTTCAGAACGACCGAGGAAGCAAACACTTAGGCCGTTATGACACAGATTAAAGTAAAGGCCTTAACATCCCCTAAGGTCGGTGAAGCTGGACTTGAGTAAATTTTTTAGAACGATCAAATCAAACAAAGAAAAAACATCTTTATTCAACACATTTATAATGCCTAACCGAGCTAAACAAATTATTTTAAAAAAATTAAGCATGAAAGTTACTTAGATGCTTTATGCTCTTGGTGTTAGTGACGTTGTCCAGCCTTGAGACAACACGAGATCCCAGCCCCCAAGTTGGCATCGATGTGGCGGAGTGAGGAGGTCGCCTCGACGAAGCGACGACACAACACGGTTGACGCTGCGAGTCGAAGCTTCCGGTCCAGCTGACATGATGAAGCAGGTCGTCGGGGTGAAGTTGGAGCTCCCAAAGTAGGTCGATGAAGTGACGACACAGCACGGTTGACGTTGCGAGCTGAAGCCTCCGGTCCAGCTGACATGACGAAGCGGGTCGGCGGGGTGACGTTGGAGCCCCTAGAGTAGGTTGATGAAGTGTCGACACAACACAGTTGATGTTGCGAGTTGAAACCTTTGGTCCAGCTGACATGACGAAGCAGGTCAGCGGGGCGACGTTGGAGCCCCCCCAGAGTAGGTCGATGAAGTGATGACGTCTAAGCCCTTGACTCCTTGAGCCAGCCGACGTGGCGGGGGCAAATCGATGAGGTGACGCCAGGGCCCTCACGTCAAGCGACGTGATGGAGCAGGTTGGGATGGTGGACGTCGGCATGATATGATGTGACGACGCAGGTCGGAACATGACGGGATCGATGTTGGCTTGTTGAAGTGATGGCACGACGATGTCGGCGCGCCCGACCTGTGCAATCCGTGGGGCGGCGATGTGGTCTCCTCCCCTCCCCCCTCATGCCCCCAGCGCTCCGAGGACGACGCAACCCGCTCATCTCTGCCACACCACACCATGATATTGGTCCCGGTGGAGCTGTGAGATTTTTGTCAGAAATCAACGGGCCAGGAGACGTTTGTTTCCAGTTCTAAAAATCCGACGTCAGATTTTTATTGATTCGTTAAAGCATTTTGAATTTTATTTCTAGACCCAGTTTTCTTACAGCTATTTCTAGACCCAGTTTTCTTACAGCTATTTCTAGACCCGGTTCATAGCACCACTTTCACAGATGGTTCTAGACCTCGGAACGAGCAGCTAACGGACTGTCCAGATACGCCCTCCTTCAGCGGGGGTCCACACGGACACTGGCACGCGCAAGTTGCCCGCGATTGATTGACGCCAACGTCGGCTTCCGCCTCCACCTCCCACCTCCACGTCTATTAAACGCAGCCGCCTCCTGCTTCTCGCCTTCCCCACCAAATTTCCGCCGAAGCAGAAAAAGCATCGTCTCGTCTCGTCTCGTCGAGGAATCAACAGCCATGGGCGGCGGCAACGCGCAGAAGTCCAAGATGGCGAGGGAGAGGAACCTCGAGAAGCTGAAGGGCGGCAAGGGTAACGGAGCTAATTCCCCCTTCTCTTGGTCGTCAGATCTTGTTGGTCTTCCTGATCTGATCCTGTTGGTGTTTTCTCTTCTGATCCTTCGCAGGGAGCCAGCTCGAGGCCAACAAGAAGGCCATGAACATCCAGGTGCGCTGATTAATCCCGCCTATCCAATCGATCGAATCGATCTAACCCTCTCTAGCGATTGGGGATTTTTTTTTCCGCAGACGAAACTGTTATCTGTGGAATTTGTTGAAATTACGCCTTTAACTGGGACGGGATGCGTGCCTCTTCAGTTGCAACGACGATTGGTAGCCTATTTCTCGATAGGACTCTGGGTGGATGGTTTTTTCTTTTTTGTGCGGCGATTATCGGTAGGATTTTGAGCTTTTTTTTTGTCAATTACGCCTGGAGAAACGAAGGGAATCATATACTTTTGGCTGCCAGGACTATAGCTAGCGTATCGACATACTAGCATGCTAGATTACAAGTTAATTGTACCAAAATTGCCCTTCGGGCATAGATCTGGGGGGTATTCTCATCGCATATCGTGCGAATTACAAGTTACTACTAGTTGTTTGTCTGCCTGAGTTTTCTGCCAAGCAAAGTTGCAACCTTCACAGTGTGTGTCGCTGTTTGATAAGTAAGAGACACTTGTAGTTCAATGAGATATAATCTGACAGCTTTAAGAGTGTGGCATGTCCTAACCAGCTTTGGTCTGCTACCAAGCAATGCTATGCTTGTGTCTGAAACTAGTTCTGGATGGTACCAGTTAATCATTAGGATCCACGGGGGAGGGCGGTAGCTGGAAGACTCTTGTTAAGTTAGTGTATAATTCCAGTGGATGTGCCCGTTGTTTGCTTACCAACTTGATGGACTGAGCTTGCGATGCCAAATAGCTACATTTACTACACAGGTGAAAAATTCTAGTCTCTTGGAACCCAACTGCTCACACCTTGAATTAGTAACAAAGTGATGTGGCTCTTGATATAATGAAAATTGTTCATTGCAGTGTATAATTAGTCTTGACAAAACAATCTTGGCAGTCATGTTGCCTACGAGTTCATCAAATTTCTTGTCTGCCAATGGATATGCACCATATTGGATAGCTGAAATGGTTCTGTGGCTTTGTCTTGCACATCATACCGGTCTAGTGAATACGTTATAAGTTTAGAGAACTTAGAAACATTATTTGGTAAATTGCCCGATCATCTGATCAATGCTTTCTTCCCAATGCAGTGCAAGATATGCATGCAGACTTTCATCTGCACCACCTCTGAAGCAAAGTGCAAGGAGCATGCCGAGGCAAAGCATCCGAAGAGCGAGCTCGTCCAGTGCTTCCCTCACCTCAAGCAGTGATATCTGCCCAATCAGACAGAGAGAGAGATAAAAGAGAGAGAGAGAGAGAAGCTGTCATAATCCACCTAGTATTATCATGTTCCGCAATGACTGATTGTTGACCTAAGCTTGGGGTCTGAACTCGGTGTGCTGCTGTCCCGGCTGCTTTGGTTGTGTGCCCATCTACTATGTAATCGTCCTCTATCAGCCTGTTGTGCTACATTATCTTAATCCTCTGTGGATTTGCTCCTCGTGCTTAGTATGCTGTCGCAAAATTCATCTTTTTTACATGTTTCTCGCTTCCAATGGCACCGATGCTAGCTTGGTCAGAGCACGGTTTACAGCCAAGCAGCATCAAACATGAGCAGTTTTTTTTTTTTGAAAGCAAACACAGATTTCTATTACGATTACTCGCTGACCATATCACCAGCACAGCGTCTAGTACAGGTTGCGGAAAGTGGTCAAGCCGAGTCTCATAGCAGCCACTCTTCATATAGACTCCACTCGCAGCTAACATGTGCTGCTTTATTGCAACCACGGCTACAATGATTCACACTTACAACATTCAGACCTACATACATCTTAAACTTCACATCTGTAAACAAAGTGCCTAAAGCTGAAAGATCATAGTTGTTACTTGTTATTGCTTCCTTCAGCGTTGTGAAATCTGTTTCAAATGTCACTTGTTGGCAGCCCAAATGAGTAGCAGTAATAGTTGCTTGCTGAAGGGCCAAAGCTTCAGCATGCAATGGACTGGAGACATGATTCAGATTTCCAGCACCTGCCGCCAGGAGCGTTCCTTGGTCATTCCTGATGGTGAAACCCAACCTCCTGAGTGTGTTTCCCAAGTAAAGGATCCATCTGTGTTTATCTTGAGAATTCCCTTAGGAGGTGGCTTCCACTTATGTTTTGCTTGCTTGCTCATCTCTTCCTTCTTTGTCTTGTCCATGCAAGTCAATTGAAGATGATACTTCCCGTATACTTGTGGGTTCATCCTTATTAGCGTTGTTTCTTCTCATAAATACTAACTTTAGTCTGATGTGTTCAAGTTGAGATGCTCTCCACAGATTTTTAACCTTTTTGCATTTAAAAAAGAGGTGGCCTCCATCCTCATCCAATCTATAATAAAGAGGGCACCTAGTATCAAGAGGAATACCTTTTCTACGAAGTTTCATTCGCAAGGGAAGGTTGTACATCGCAGCTCTCCGTAAGAAGTGTAGTACTTTGTTTGGTAGAGGGAGCGCCCATAACTTCTTCCAGTTGAAGCTTGAGATTTTCCCTTCTGCAATGGAAGTTGAAGTTAGCCCTAATACAAAATCTCTAGCTGCACTATCTACAGCCACCTTATAAGCCGATTTAACAGAAAATGATCCTTTCTTATCATAATGCCATGCAATGAAATCACTTGTATCTTCTTGAATGGGTATTCACATGATGAGGTTTGCATCCTCATCCGAGAAGGTCTGTTGTACCAGCTGCATATCCCATTGGTTTGTTATCGGGTTGATCAAATCAACTACTTTGTCCACCAGATGGTTACCTTTTGGTGTATTGGGCCTCCGTGTGTTTCCTTTAGGAATCCATGGATCAGTCCATATTTTGATCCTTTCCCCGTTCCACTATCCATATTATCCCTTTCTCCAGCAATTGTATGCCTTTTATTATGCTTCTCCAAGTATAGGAAATACCTGCATGAGGAATAGCCTCAGGAATTGATCCATTTGGGAAATATCTGGCTGCCAGCACTTGGGAGCACAAGGAATGGGGATTCTGTATTATTCTCCATGCCTGTCTAGCCAACATAGCTAGGTCGAAATAGTGCAGGCTCCGAAAACCTAGACCTCCATCTTCGGCTTTGATAGCTTTTCCCAACTAATCCAGTGGATTTTATTTTCCCAACTATGAGAGCACTCAGGTCGTCACAAAATGTTTTGGTCAGGTCCAAGCATGCCATTGCATACACTGGAATTGCCTATGCTGCAGCTTTTATCAATATTTCTTTCCCTGCTTTTGAAACAGTTTCAACTTCCATCCCTGTATCTCTTTCCAGACCTTCTCTCGAATATAGCTGAAATTCTTTGCTTTCCTTTTGCCAATATATGTAGGAAGACCTAAGTATTTTCTAGTTAAGCCCTCCACATTGATGCCCATGATCCTCTTCATATTGTTTTTCCGTCCCTCATCCTTAATTTTTGCTAAAGAAAATTGATGATTTGTCCTTCTTTATCATTTGCCCTGAGCACTGTTCATATGTACTCAATATCCTGTTTACCTCTTGTGCTGCTCCCTCACTTGCCTCCATTAACACTAATGAGTCATTCGCAAAGAGGAGGTGGCTAACACTAGGGGCGTTTCTGCATATTTTTATGCCTCTGACCTTTCCATTTACTTCAACTTCATTCAACATTGCAGAGAAACCTTCAGCGCAAAACAAAAATAAGTATGGGAATAAAGGATCTCCTTGGCGTAGTCCCCTTTGAGGTACGATCACATCCGTTTTGCCCTGGTTTACCTTAACTTGATATTTTATACTAGTTATGCACTTCATCAGCTGGACCCAGGCCCTTCTAAATCCTTGTTTTATCATCATGTCTTCAAGAAGCTTCCATTCTACTCTATCATATGCTTTGCTCAAACATCAGCAGTTCTAACTTCGAGTAAGAGCACAGTTTATACAACCAAAAATTGGCTAGCCAATGTTTTTGGCAAGCAGAAAATTGACACCGTCAAAGATTGCCCAAATCAGCGAGTTTTCTACAATTCTATTAGTCTATAAACTTGCATGATATGTGTAGTTTAAGCACACAAATGGGTAGCTGAGATGTGCAGTTCACTGTCATCGAACTTGCTAGTAAAATGCGTTATTGATGCATTAGCTGAGATGCACACACAAACTAAACTAGCTGATTGCTTTAGAGTTAAAAAATGCATTCTCTATCACCGAACTTGTCAAGCTAGTCGTACTTTGGTAACCCACTGTGCTAGCTTGACAAGTTGACGAAAAAGGGTTTCCCCTTTATATTAACCACCACGACATATTTCATACAAGTATAGAGTTATCCCTATAGAAAAGCAGAAATACACAGGTCTTGTTGGGGCAGCAGCAGAACTATTGGTGCAATGATAGGCCCCTTATGTTATGGAGTTTGTTGACATAAAAAATATGTGACACATGTGTTTGCTAGTGCACATAGAGTAACAGGTCCATGAAGTATCAAGGAGTTTGATGCAAACGACAAAGATAATCCTTGTGCGTGGCAGCGAAGGTTATCACCAAATATGAAGCTAACAGGATTGACCCCTAAAAATTGCTGAAGATCAAGCAATTGGTTCGGTGTCTGTTCAAAGCATATGACTGCGTTCGAGGAAGAATGAAGACGAAGTGAAGACGTAGCATTTGTTTTGTTCTTCTTCTTCTTTCATTGAGTCATAGGACCAACGTATTATTAAGAGGGGTGTAGCGTTTGAAGCTTTGGTTCTCTGATGCTAAACCCAAATCCCATGAAAGCTGTGAGAGAAATCTCTTTGTGCTTCGAGCAAATACTTGCCAGCAAGAGACTGTGATCTTCTTCGCTGCGAGAGATTTGACTCGGACCGAGGAGTTAGCATTACTTGTTCCTCAAGTAATGTTACCGTTGCTCGAAAATCCGACCGTTGTAAACAAGTCGGTTGGCCATTGGCTGGATCTCGTGTCCAAAATGGTCATTTCCCATCTAGGAAGGCTGCGGCAATAAATAGCCACCCCGCGTCGGCTTTGTCCGGTGGTTGCTTCGTTTGATTTCTGAGAAGATTGTTGAGCAACCCACTCTCTGAGCGATTTGAGTTTAAAATCCACCGAGAGAAAAACCCTGGACCAGTGATGGATAATTATGTCAGATGCGATTCCTCATGTAATAGTTATAACCTAGGGTGACACAGAACTAGCTCCAGTTCATCAATGTAATGTAGGCATGTATTCCGAATATAGTCATACGTGCTTATGGAAAAGAACTTGCATGACATCTTTTGTCCTACCCTCCCGTGGCAGCGGGGTCCTAATGAAAACTAAGGGATATTAAGGCCTCCTTTTAATAGAGTACCGGACCAAAGCATTAACACATAGTGAATACATGAACTCCTCAAACTACGGTCATCACCGAGAAGTATCCCGATTATTGTCACTTTGGGGTTGTCGGATCATAACACATAATAGGTGACTATAGGCTTGCAAGATAGGATCAAGAACTCACATATATTCATGAAAACATAATAGGTTTAGATCTGAAATCACGGCACTCGGGCCCTAGTGACAAGCATTAAGCATAGCAAAGTCATAGCAACATCAATCTCAGAACATATTGGATACTAGGGATCAAACCCTAAGAAAAATAACTTGATTACATGGTAAATCTCATCCAACCCATCAACGTCCAGCAAGCCTACGATGGAATTACTCATGCACGGCGGTGAACGTCATGAAATTGGTGATGGAGGATGGTTGATGATGGTGACGGTGACGAATCCCCCTCTCCGGAGCCCCGAACGGACTCCAGATCAGCCCTCCCGAAAGAGATTAGGGCTTGGCGGCGGCTCCGTATCGTAAAACGCGATGAAACTTTCTCTCTGATTTTTTTCTCCGCGAAAGCAAATATATAGAGTTGGAGTTGAGGTTGGTGGACATCCAGGGGGCCCACGAGGTAGGGGGCGTGCCCAGGGGGAGGGGGCGTGCCCCCCACCCTGGTGGACAGGGTGTGGGACCCCTGGCCTTGATTCTTTCGCCAGTATTTCTAATATTTTCCAAAAGAAATCTCCTTGAATTTTTAGGTCATTCCGAGAACTTTTGTTTCTGCACAAAAATAACACCATGGCAGTTCTGCTGAAAACATCGTGAGTCCGGGTTAGTTTCATTCAAATCATGCAAGTTAGAGTCCAAAACAAGGCAAAAGTGTTTGGAAAAGTAGATACGTTGGAGACATATCAACTCCCCCAAGCTTAAACCTTTGCTTGTCCTCAAGCAATTCAGTTGATAACATATCAACTCC